CCAGAACTCTGCAGCCCGTCTGGTGTTCAACCTTCCCAAGTTCTCTCACGTCATCCCGCTCCTCCGCACACTCCACTGGCTCCCAGTTGAAGCTCGCATCTGCTACAAGACCATGGTGCTTGCCTACGGAGCTGTGAGGGGAATGGCACCTCCTTACCTTCAGGCTCTGATCAGTCCCTACACCCAAACGAGGGCATTGCGTTCATCCACCTCTGGCCTGCTGGTCTCCCTACCTCTGCAGAAGCACAGTTCCCGCTCAGCCCAGTCAAAACTGTTCACTGCTCTGGCACCCCAATGGTGGAACAAGCTCCCTCATCACGACGCCAGAACAACGGAGTCACTGACCACCTTCCGGAGACACTTGAAAGCCTACCTCTTTAAGGAATACCTGGAATAGTATAAAAGTAATCCTTCTACCCCCTACCCCACCCCCACAATTGTTTATGTTTTATTTAAATATAAATAAATAAAACAAATTTTAAACAAAAACAAAACAAAAACTACTAAAGAAATAAATAAAAATATTTCAAAAATAAAACAAATTTTAAAGTGGTTGTCCCACTGGCTATCATGAGGTGAATGCACCAATTTGTAAGTCGCTCTGGATAAGAGTGTCTGCTAAATGACATAAATGTAATGTAAATACTTGTGTGTTTGTGTAATGTACACTAGAATAGAATACATCATATCTACCGTGTGTGGTTGGAAAAAGCTGAAAGTGAAAGTTGAAGTTAAAGTTGAAAGAAACATCCTCTTTAACCACATAACAGAAGTGTTCATACCCCTCCTCTCAATGTGAAACATGGTTACACCTCTTTCTGCTTGAGTCAGGGTTTTTGTGGTTCTTTGTGAAAAGCCTTGCACAGCTCTTAATGATACCAAAATACATAATTTTGTGATTTAACTTTTACTTATGGATGTCACCCTCTTAATAAGTCTGGTTTTTTTGTGGTTCTTTGTGAAAAGTCTTACAAAGCTCTTAATGATAACAAAATACATAATTGTAACTTTTGCTCAGTGATGTGTAAGAAAATAGACTAGGGCAAGTGCATTGATTATGTCAAGGAATGCTTCAATGAGAAACCTCAAAGATTGGCAAGTAATGTAAAAGAAAGGGTTTAGATAATGTATCTCCAGCAACACAGGGCTTACATCCGGTCACTGGATAGGTTGTACTGCCCTCTAGTGTAAGTAGCATTAACAGATATTAACTAAGTCTCATGTTAATCCAATATAAATACAAGGTATTTGTCAATGATCCACTGATTGCGATCCTCCAGGTTGTAGTCCAGCTGCAGGAGGAAGTGTCCCAGAGGAAACAGGAAGTAGCTGAGGTGAAAGGTCAGACGAAGCAGCTCAGCCAGGCGCTGAAGGTGGAGAGAGAAGCCCAGAGGAGCCTGAGGAGAGAGGTCCAGGTCTGCCAGGAGTCCATTGACTCTCTGAACCTGCAGAGCAACAACAGCCTAGTGGCTCTGGAGTAGATACAGACCAGGGTATGACTGACCTCTCTCCTCATTCACAGTCATCTGGAGTACAGACCAGGGTATGACTGACCTCTCTCCTCATTCATAGTCATCTGGAGTACAGACCAGGGTATGACTGACCTCTCTCCTCATTCATAGTCATCTGGAATACAGACCAGGGTATGACTGACCTCTCTCCTCATTCATAGTCATCTGGAGTACAGACCAGGGTATGACTGACCTCTCTCCTCATTCATAGTCATCTGGAGTACAGACCAGGGTATGACTGACCTCTCTCCTCATTCATAGTAATCTGGAGTACAGACCAGGGTATGACTGATCTCTCTCCTCATTCATAGTAATCTGGAGTACAGACCAGGGTATGACTGACCTCTCTCCTCATTCATAGTCATCTGGAGTAATTACAGACCAGGGTATGACTGACCTCTCTCCTCATTCATAGTCATCTGGAGTACAGACCAGGGTATGACTGACCTCTCTCCTCATTCATAGTAATCTGGAGTACAGACCAGGGTATGACTGACCTCTCTCCTCATTCATAGTCATCCTTATCATGATGTAGTCACCAATGATAGTCAACAATGATATAGTCACCAATGATGTAGTCACCAATGATGTAGTCACCGATGATAGTCAACAATGATGTAGTGACTAATGATGTAGTCACCAATGATGTTACCTATACGTTTATAGATAGTATGCACTTATGTAAACAACAGAAATGACTGCACGCTGTCTGTATTGAATTACCACCTTTAATGACAATGTTTCTAACCTGTTTTTATCTATACTTTATTAGCCCAGCACCTACCTTTTTAAGGACGTGCATCTGACCACAAACATTTCTATAGCAATGGTGTAAGGCATTAATAGGAAGGCATACTTAATGAAGGATTTATAAAGCATTTCTAAGTAGATCAACTATTAATTATGGGTCTGTTTATTAAGTCATAATAAACCTGGTTCCATGTCTTCCAGCATGAAAGCTGAGATTGAAGATCACCAAGGCTATGAAAGCAGCAGCTCCAACACCACAGAAGAAGATCTAATGAAAGCAAGCAGCAGCTCCAACACCACAGAAGAAGATCTAATGAGAGAAAAAAGCAGCTCCAACACCACCGAAGAAGATCTAATGACAGAAAGCAGCTGCTCCAACACCACAGAAGAAGATCTAATGAGAGAAAAAAGCAGCTCCAACACCACAGAAGAAGATCTAATGAGAGAAAAAAGCAGCTCCAACACCACAGAAGAAGATCTAATGTCACACACAGTGGAGGAACTCCTGACAGCTGCAACTGGAAGGGATAATTTTGAAGTCGGCGTCCTCCATGCATTTCAAATAATAAACACTTATGGCAATTGTACATACTTTTGTAATCGCCAATCAGAATGCTACAACCAAATAGACTGACCTGCACCTGTTCTGATAGGCCTATTTAAGCTCATCTCCAAGGTTACACTAGAACAGAGTAAATCCTTGAGTGTGGCTGTAACTGTTACACTTGTCCGCCATCTTGTGGAATGACATGTACATTAATTTAGGCTACTACTGGAATCAATTCACTAGTGGCCTAGGTTTTATGTTTTATTTAGCAAAAAATAAAATAATAAAAATAAGGCACACTTGCTGAATGTATGTTGATTATTTTCACAATATTAACAAATGTAGAAGTGTTTTGTGCCCATACAAATTACTGTACAGAAAAACAACAAGTAATGTAAAATGTATCAGATCATTTAAATAGAATTTACATATAATTTTTATTCAAGCAATCAGCAAACCAGTTTTGTTAAAAGGCACAAGTAAAGACTGTTCATATCACATTTGATTTTTAAAGAACAGGTGAATCAAGATCCCAGATCCCAGTAACTTTGGCTGAATACAGTCAACTCCTGATAAATCCAAAGTGGATTAGTCAAAATTAAAGTGGAAGTGCATTGCAGTTCATTTTATCCACGGCGGTGTGGATATCTTCACGCTCCAGTTCTCCAGACACTTCATCTGAGTACAGTGGATGGTGATCATTTATGATATTGCACATTTTCAATGGTACACTTTCAAACTCAGCTCCCAGATTAGTGCAGGCTGTGAGATGCAACTGACATTTCACGGGTGGGGAGAGAGCGAGAGTGGGGGGTGGACATGGAGGGCGCATGGCTTGAAACACTGAACATCATGATGTGAATTGGAATGTGTTTAGGCTATTACTAGCATCAGAACTTCACTGAATTACATAATTCTATACTAGACATTAGGAATATTTTTGGAACATAAAATAACATTATATACACTGGTTTCAAGATTTGTAAATAACAGTTCTGTTCCAGAAGACTAGACATCACTTTTGTTCCCAGTTCAGTTTCTGTTTCATGAACCAAATGTACATTAAAATAATTAAATAATAATAATAAATAATTTAGCAGAAGCTCTTAGGGTTAAGTGCCTTGCTGAAGGGTAGATCTACATAATTTTCTTTCTTCCACCTAGTCTGCTTTAGTCTGGATTCGAACCAGCAACCTTAATCAGCTAGTCGGCTCAGGGATTCAAACGGGCGACCTTTCAGGTACTGGCCTTATGCTCTTAACCGCTAGGCTACCTGCCGCCCAGTGGTCCTCTCTCTGACTCACTCACTCACTCTCACACACGTACGCACACACACAAACACTAAAAAATAATTCATACACACACTTAACAATAATTTACAGATGCAATAGAAACAGATACAATTCCTAAAATGAATCTGAGTTTTTTCTTTTTTTCACTATTATTAAAACTATGTCCAGTGTAGCTCAGTTGGTAGCGCATGGTGTTTGCAATGCCAAGGTTGTTGGTTCAATTCCCATGGGGGACCAGTATAAATGAAAATGTATGCACTCACTACTGTAAGTCACTCTGGATAAGAGTGTCTGCTAAATTACTAAAATGTAAACAGCTCCAGCTAATATCACTGTCATGGATGCCACAGCACTGCTTCTAGCTGTTGAATGGGATAGTTGTGGTCCACACTCTGAATCCGACCAAGGAGATCCTGGTTTAATTTCCTGAAGTCCCAAGGATTCACATCTATAAACAGATAAATACTGGCCATTCATTATTCATTTATAACTTGGTCATTCATCTTTCAGTTTTAGATGTGTGTTGTTAGGTAAATTTGTATTTAGGGTAAAAACTATTTGTATAAGCCACACTTACTCAGTGTGTGACTGGCAGGCTGTTAATGATCCATCTGAATAAGTATCATCAGTACAGTCAGAACACACAGTATCTGTAGATGTTGTTCCTGCATAAATGGAGGTTTAAACATACGTTTAAATTATTTAAAAACTAGACATCCCAAAACAAACTTGTAAACATCGTACTTAAACTTTCCCCATGTACTCTTCTTGACTTATTTTAAATTCTCTAATGATTTCAATCAATCAATCAAACAATCAGCTACTTTTAATTCAGTCGAGTAACTTGGCACACTAGAAATCATGACAAAATCACGTTGAATACTTGAGAGGAGACCAACCTGTGTGACGGATGTATTGACCAGGTTTACAGCTGCTGTGTTTCTGGGCTATTCTACAACCATCTTTGTTAGAGAGCAGACAAAAGAACCCCTCCAGTGGCCCGCAAAAATCATCTGATTCTGGTTTGCATGGCTGTTTTACCCTCAAACCCAAACCTATGAAGAACACATTGCATTCATTATCTTAAGCAAACATATTAAGCCATTCAAATGTCAATCATAAATCACATCTGATATAGCCTGTAGCACATTACCTCAGTATTAAAGTCTGGCTATTGTATAAATACAGGACAACTCTCACCTGAATCACAGCTGGAACATGGTGCACATTTCATGAGACCATTGGGCCCATCAAGGAATGTAGAATCAATACAGGACACACAGAAGGTGCTGGTGAATTCAGTACAATGCTCATGTACACGATTTCCTGGGGAAGAGAGAATCACAATGTATGGAATTTCTATTGGTGTTGATCATTTATGAACCTATGATGATGATGTAAAGAGAGGTTCCTTACCTGGTGAACACATGGGACAACATTCATCCCCTATTCTGTACTCGGCTCTACCACATGCAATACAGGATCCAATGCTTACAATCACCAATATAATAGGTACCTGGAAGTAGAGAACATTTTAGAAATAAAATCGCAAAGATCTAAACTGATGGTGTGTATTCATAAAACCTTCAGAAGTAGTTAACAGAATTCTAACCTAAATATTCCCATTTCAAATAAAAGTATTGTAATTATGTGGGACCATTTTAAATAGGCTTTTGTGAGTGTGGTGGCACCTCTGGTGTGTTTTTATTTTGTCTTTTAAAGGTGTGACACCAAAGATAACCAAGATAACCTAGGTCAGCGTTTTCCGATCTCGTTCCTGGGGACCCCCAGGGGTGCACGTTTTGGTTGTAGCCCTAGCACTACACAGCTGGCTCAAATAATCAAAGCTTGATGATGAGTTCATTATTTGAATCAGCTGTGTAGTGCTAGGGCAAAAAACAAAACGTACACCCATTAGGGTCCCCAGGATCGAGTTTGGGAAACGCTGACCTAGAGAAAATGTACTTCTCTCCACTACGTTTTTTCTACTAAGGTTTCAGTAAAATGGACAGAACTAGTAGGCTAATAATAACTCTGATTTATATTTTATAGAGGAAATATTTACATTTTTCAATTGTTTTTTTAAACATGCCAAGCCACAAAATGTGCTAATCAGAAATGTTTAACTTACAATCCATATCAAGCTTTGAAACTGTGCCATGGTTCCTCAATCCTCACCAACTCATTTGTGAAGTTCTTAGGAGTTTTGAAGTATCGAGATGAACTGACCTGTAGACTTAATGTATTTTAATAGATGTAAATATAATCCTTTCAATTTGTAAATTACGATATCTTGCTGAATTGAATCACTGAAAACCCCCCAACTGTAATTAGATGGTTAACTTTGAGAAGTATGAAACAGAATTAGGCAAGTAGTTATTAGAGGATGCTGCCATCTTTGCCACTCGATACAGCTATGACCAGAAGTGATTTTTGTCGCAGGTTAGGAGAGCATTTTCACTAACCCTTTTCCTAACCTTAACCTAACTCTCCTAACCTGCTACGTAAATTTTCCTAACCTTCTGCGTAAGTTATTCTAACGGTCCGTGCTATCCAGGCTTCTTGGGACGTCCCTACCCCATTGATCTGAGGCATTTGCCTCTCTTGCTTGTTCTCTTTCCTCAACTTGATGTTGGGCCTGAGCATCATCATCATTATCTGGTCCACTGTCTGCTAGGTCTAGCATCATCCTAGTTGGCAATTAATAAATACACTTATTAGACAATTATAGGGAACACACATTATGATCTAATTTGACGTTTTTAAGTGTGTCTATGTAGACATCATTAGGATTATTGTGTCATAAGTCATATGTGTTCCCCCTACCCTAGTGTTAATTACATATGAAAAAATACTGAATAAATGACTAATAGGTTACTATTGGCTCATAATACCTTATACAACTACTTATTTAGCAAATGAGTGCCTGGTTGTCATCAAATAAAAGAAAACTTGATTGGTCACATGCCCAGAATACATTATGTAAACCATGCAGCGAAACGCTTACTCGCCGTCTCTCCTCAATAGCGCAATACACATGTAGACTAGAAAAATATTTTTAAAAGAACAAGTCATAAAAGCCTACAGCTGCTAACGTTCGCTATATTATTTTGTCCGTTTTTTTTGTTACAAACAAGCAAGCTTTAAATGATGTGTCTTTAAAAAAATTCAGGAGCACACTTTCACATCGAAGAAAACGGAGAGGACAGCCTTATCGTCAAATTACAAATACAGTCATTTATCATGATTAAAATATGTCATTATTCTTTCAAGTAACTGCACTGAACATGTTAAGTTGGCTATTTCTATATATAATCAAATAATCCATATCTTACCCCGCCTTGGTTCACAGTTCGACTGTACGTTTTACTTTCTTAAAATGTTTCCCGACGATTTAACTTCTGCATTCTGTATTTAAGTCTTATATTTATTAATTTAATTGTTTTAATAAAGTTGTTTCTTTTTTTTTGTAATTATGTTCCGGTCCCCCCGACCATTCGTTCCAGAAAGATTCACAGCGTTGTTTGAAAGCAGACCTTTCTGACCACAGCTCATCGTTTCATTAATTGAACCCCTGCATCTCCAGTCTGAAATATGGTCACGCCTCTAAATAGTTGAGTCTGGTTTGTTTGTGGGTCGTAGTGAAAAGCCTTGCAAAGCTATTAATGATACCAAAATACATCATTTTGTGATGCCACTTTTGCTCATGGATGTGTAAGAAAATAGACTAGGGCAAGTGCATTGTTTATGTCAAGGAATGCTTCAATGAGCAACCTCAAAGATTGGCAAGTCATGTAAAAGAAAGGGTGTAGATAATGTATCTCCAGCGACACATGGCTTGCATCCGGTCACAGGATTGTACTGCCCTCTAGTGGCAGACGCATTAACAGATATTAACTAAATCTGTCAAGCCAATATTACATTTGCATTTTAGTCATTTAGCAGACGCTCTTATCCAGAGCGACTTACAGTTAGTGAGTGCTCCGTTCCAGCCATTATTATGAGCTGTCCTCCCCTCACCTCTCTCCACATTCATAGTCATCTGGAGTACAGACCAGGGTATGATTGACCTCTCTCCTCATTCACAGTCATCTGGAGTAGGGACCAGGGTATGACTGACCTCTCTCCTCATTCACAGTCATCTGGAGGACAGACCAGGGTATGACTGACCTCTCTCCTCATTCATAGTCATCTGGAGTACAGACCAGGGTATGACTGACCTCTCTCCTCCTTCATAGTCATCTGGAGTACGGACCAGGGTATGACTGACCTCTCTCCTCATTCATAGTCATCTGGAGTACAGACCAGGGTATGACTGACCTCTCTCCTCATTCATAGTCATCTGGAGGACAGACCAGGGTATGACTGACCTCTCTCCTCATTCATAGTCATCTGGAGCACAGATCAGGGTATGACTGATCTCTCCTCATTCATGGTCATCCTTATCATGCTGTTACCGAATGCAATGATGTAGTCACCAGTGATGTAGTCACCAATGATGTAGTCACCAGTGATGTAGTCACCAATGATGTAGTGATCAGTGATGTAGTCACCAGTGATGTAGTCACCAACGATGTAGTCACCAATGATGTAGTCACCAGTGATGTAGTCACCAGTGATGTAGTCACCAGCGATGTAGTCACCAGTGATGTAGTCACCAGTGATGTAGTGATCAGTGATGTAGTGACCAATGGTGTAGTCACCACTTACAGTACCAGTTTCTTTATTTTTACTATTTTCTACATTGTAGAATAATAGTGAAGACATCAAAACTATGAAATAACACATATGGAATCATGTAGTAACCAAAAAAGTGTTAAACAAATCAAATTATATTTTATATTTGAGATTCTTCAAAGTAGCCACCCTTTGCCTTGATGACAGCTTGGCACAATCTTGGCATTCTCTCAACCAGCTTCATGAGGTAGTCACCTGGAATACATTTCAATTAACAGGTGAGCCTAGTTAAAAGTTAATTTGTGGAATTTCTTTCCTTCTTAATGCGTTTGAGCCAATCAGTTTGTGTTGTGACAAGGTAGGGTTGGTATACAGAAGATAGCCCTATTTGGTAAAAGACCAAGTCCATATTATGGCAAGAACAGCTCAAATAAGCAAAGAGAAACGACAGTCAATCATTACTTTAAGACATGAAGATCAGTCAATCTGGAAAATTAGAGTTACCAGCCTCAGAAATAGCAGCCCAAATAAATGCTTCACAGAGTTCAAGTAACAGCCACATCTCAACATCAACTGTTCAGAGGAGACTGTGTGAATCAGGCCTTCATGGTCAAATTGCTGCAAAGAAACCACTACTAAAGGACACCAATAATAAGAAGAGACTTGTTTGGGCCAAGAAACACGAGCAATGGACATTAGACAGGTGGAAATTTGTCCTCTGGTCTGATGAGTCCAAATTTGAGATTTTTGGTTCCAACCGCTGTCTTTGTGAGACGCAGAGTAGGTGAACGGATGATCTCCGGATGCGTGGCTCCCACCGTGAAGCATGAAGGTGGTGGTGTGATGGTGTGGGGGTGCTTTGCTGGTGACACTGTCTGTGATTTATTCAGAATTCAAGGCACACTTAACCAGCATGGCTACCACAGCATTCTGTAGCGATACGCCATCCCATCTGGTTTGCGCTTAGTGGGACTATCATTTGTTTTTCAACAGGACAATGACCCAACACACCTCCAGGCTGTGTAAGGGCTATTTGACCAAAAAGGAGAGTGATGGAGTGCTGGATCAGATGACCTGGCCTCCACAGTCCTCCGACCTCAACCCAATTGAGATGGTTTGGAATGAGTTGGACCGCAGAGTGAAGGAAAAGCAGCCAATAAGTGCTCGACACATGTGGGAACTCCTTCAAGACGGTTGGAAAAGCATTCCAGGTGAAGCTGGTTGAAAGAATGCCAAGAGTGTCCAAAGCTGTCATCAAGGCAAAGGGTGGCTACTTTGAATAATCTCAAATATAAAATATTTATTAAAAATGTTTTTGTTACTACATGATTCCATGTGTTATTTCATAGTTTTGATGTCTTCACTATTATTCTACAATGTAGAAAATATAAAAAATAAAGAAAAACCCTTGAATGAGTAGGTGTGTCCAAACTTTTGACTGGTACTGTATGTAGTGACCAATGATAATAATATGCCATTTAGCAGACGCTTTTATCCAAAGCGACTTACAGTCATGCGTGCATCATTTTTTTTGTGTACGGGTGGTCTCGGGGATCGAACCCACTACCTTGGCGTTACAAGCGCCGTGCTCTACCAGCTGAGCTACAGAGGACCACAATGATGTAGTCACCAATGATGTAGTCACCAATGATGTAGTCACCAGTGATGTAGTCACCAGTGATGTAGTCACCAATGATGTAGTCACCAGTGATATAGTCACCAATGATGAAGTCACCAGTGATGTATTCACCAATGATGTAGTCACCAATGATGTAGTAACCAGTGATTAATCACCAATGATGTAGTTATAAAAAGAACAGAAAGGCCTGAACATTGTAT